GTATTTTGAGTTGTGTTTTTGTCTGGGACTCTGGATTCTGGATTGCCAGACGGCCGGATGCCGCATAGATGGAGTATCCTTGGGTATCCTTTTTTGCTGTTTGATGAATGTTGGCAAAATGTTTGCTAAGCTTTCCATAATGTGACTATAAGTTGTGGTTATGTGGAGTTTAATTGGAAATGAAATTGTTTTTTCCAAGAGACTTTACACAGTTAATCGATAAGTGGAATTTCGTGGCATTTTTATTATATATTTTAAATGAAGTATTCTAAGCCATTGAAAGGGAATTTGTTTGGGAAATAATATGAAATATGAAAAAAAAAAAAAAAAAAAAGAAAGAAATAAACGAAAAATTTCAAAATTTTTATTTCCGAAAAATTATTTTATATTAAGTCATTATTTATAATATTATATTATATTATATTACATTATAATACACTTGATGCAAATTATTGTCAGGATTAAGAATATTTAAAAATTTCTTATTGTATTTTGAAAAATTTTCTTGACAAATTATTTTAAAAAGTCATAAATTCTATCTACAAATTTGAGATTGAAAATACTGGTTTAAAAATGGTTTTAAATTGGATTAAATTCATAAAATAAATTAAATGGGATGGAATAATGTAAAAAAAATGTAAAAAATGTATCTCGCACTTTTGATTGGAGAAGTACATAGATGTCAGGCAAGGGACATGCAACCTTCCTTTCAGCTTCCCCTCCTGAGGGATGGTAAGCCATCCGTAACAAAATTAATTGCAATCTCCATTGGAGAAGGAGAGAGTGGATGAAAACATAGGGGTATAAAAACCGCCCGCGGCTGTGCACAAAAATTTACCAAAAATTCTGACAGATACTTTTAACCACAACTCATAAACAATTGCCAAAAACAATAATTTGTTGTGTGTTTGTGTGTGCAAATTGTTGGATAGATTATATTTAACTTTCGACTCCAACTCAATGCTCGCCCTCTGCTCTTTGCTTCTGCTCTCAGGTGCCATTCAAAATTGTATCCATATGCAGAATGTATCTGAGAGTTTTATAGTATCTGCATCTAAATTTAAAAAAGGGGCAAAGTGGCAGGAGAGAGAGCGAGAGTTGTGTGGTAAATGATGACGAGTCAGGGAGAGTGAGAGGAGGGGAACAACTGGCGCCTGGATTTTTATGGTGGCGTCGCTATAGTCGTTCCGGTGCTCGTTGTCGTCTGGATGTCCGTCATCAGGCACTGGCTTCGAACGGTTAGAGGTGTTTGGGGGACATTTTTGCATTCTGCATTCTGCATTTTTTGACAGATGGACAGGAGATGGCAATGGCAATGGCATAACGGGGCAAGGCAAGCCGCCAAGGCGGGGGAGGAGGCAGCGACGGATCGCTGCGAAGTTGCAACTTGTGATAAAAATCCGTGTGTCAATTCGATTTGTGGACGTTAACCGCTGCCTAAACAACAACCACAACAAAAAGCTGCACATTTATGGGAGCGGGACGCAACCAATTTTTTTTTTTTTTTTTTTTTTTTTCTCTGCTCTCTGGTGTTGCAATAGAAAAAACGGACGCGATACATGACATTTTGTGGCAGCGAATTGGCAGCTTCCAGTGGATGGCCGCCTGCCTGCAGTGTTGCAACAATCTCGTGAGTGAAGTGGAAGGAATTTCAGAGGGGGTGGGGGCTGGGCAAAAAGGGGAGCAAGAGAGTGTATGAGTAATCATGATAGAATAAAGGGCAAATAAAAAATAAATAAACTGCAAGTGAAATTTGAAGGGGGGATTACCCCTGGTTGCAGAACAAATTAAAGGATTATTTTGGGAGAAAGCAGCAAGGAAAATACAGTAAAAAATATGGAAAATAAAATTTAAATTGTTGCTTTTAAATAAAATAAAAATTAATGTAATTAAAATGAAAAGAACACTGCCACACAGCCTTCGGCGTAGCCTTCCATTCAATGCATTTTATATGCCCATTCCATCTCTCCATTTTGCATCATTTGCAACCATTGTTGTTGCCCCCCCCCAAAATGGGGTTTGGGCAATGGGCATGCCTGCATTCCGTTATGTCACTTTTCTAGTCCACAATCGGGGCAAAAAAAAAACAAAAAAAAAAAGGCGAGCAAAACGCACACACAGAGCAATCCGCAGAGCGTGTCCAAGTTTTGATGGGTGACAGCAGTTGGCGCTGCATTTTGGCCACAATTGTCAGGTGTCGCGATATTCGAGCGCCTGTCAATCCGATTTCAGTCAGATATCTGTACATACATATTCTATTGATGGTCGAAAAGTGTCTGAGCAGGGCGGAGGGGCAGCAGCAGAGCGGAGACTATTGTAAATCCCCAAGCGAAAAAGTAGAACGCATAAAATTAAAGCGTTACATGGGAGGGAGTTTGGCTAAGGCCAAACTAATATGGATTTCAAAGGAAGCCAAGCAAAGCCTTGCGCATCCTGTTTCACACATAAAATGCAACGCTGCGTATACTTAACATTATTTAGGGTAAAGTTTTAGTGGAACAATGAAAGAGGAATAAGAAAGAAAGGGAGAGAAGGGATGGGATGGTTGCCTAAGAATTCTCCTTCTTCTTTTTTACCCTTTTACTCGCTAAATGCTCGCATTTAATGCGGAAAATTAAGGATTTATGTCGCTTAAAAATTATTTCATTTAGATTTCTATATTTCTATATTTTATGCTGAAAGATTATTCATTTTAAATGGTGTTTCTGGCCAAAATTCATGACTATATCCAATATCTGCCATAGGAACAAAAGAAAAGAAAATTAAAGATTTATGTCTGTAAAAATTATTTCATTTTGATTTCTATATTTATATATATTTATTTATATATTTATTTATATATATTTATTTATATTTCTATATTATTTAGGCTGTTCTATATCTATATTTAGGCTGAAAGAAATTAATTTATTTTAAAAGGTATTTCATGACTATATATGATACATATTATTTATATTTCTATATCTATATTTAGGCTGAGATTATTTTGGCCTCTAGGGTAAGGGTACCAAAACCTTCGGACTCTATAGCAAAAGCTTTCCTCTCTTATTTTTTGGCCCCGTCTTGATGCTTTTGAAACGCTCTGAAGACGAAACAGAAACTAATAAAGATGCGTAATGGCTGTCTGCGCACAAATATCGGAAAATAATTATAGTTGGGGGGCAAAGCGATAAGAAAAGCAGTCGAAAGGAAAGACAGGGAGTGGTAGAAAGCCAGCGAACAAAAAGGCAAAGAGAGAAAGGGGTAAAGCTTGAACCAGTTCGGTTCAAAGGAAAAGCTCCATTTCTGAGTGAAATCTTCTAAAAAAACAACAGCTAAAGCTGCCCCCTAGCCCACAGCCGTTCCAACCTACCACAGCATGTCCTTCTTACGCACAAAAATCTCATTCCCCCACCCACTCCTCTTGTGCTCCTTATATGGGTTGCTGCATGCAACAATTGTTCCCTCCCTTGCTCACGCATTTTGTGGGGGAGAGCGTAGAAAACTTTTAGTCATATGCAAAAAAAAAAAGAAAGAAAAAAAAATACGCATTAATTCACTTTATCGTGCTGTGGCGGTGGCAACTCTTTAACATTTAGCAATGTGTGTGTGTGGGTGTGTAGGGCTGCCACCCCCAACTCCAGCCCTAGTACTAGCCCACCCCCCTGCCACTGCCCCACTGCATTGCTTCATTTTCAATTTCAATAAATAACCTTGATTTAAGCGACAGCGACGCGAGCAGCGCCGTCAGCGTTGGCTTCCCCCCCCCCCACCCAACCGCGCTCAATCGCTTTGACCAGTTGCAATACAAACACAAACTCCCAACACACCCATACACTGAGAGCGACAGCAGACACAGACAGCAGGCCAGACCGGCCCCCCACACACAAACACCTGTCACACACGCTACGCTCTGCTGCTCTCTTTGCCAAAGTTCTCTCTCTCTCTCTCACTCTCGCTCTCTCGTTCGGCTGGGGCTGTAAAGCATTGCAATTATGGGGCTCTCAGCGGCCCATTGCAGTTCTTTGCCTCCCCCTACATTCGCTGCTCACTGAATGTATGCTCTCTCACACACAGGTGAGGATGAAGTGGCGTTTTTATCGTTTCGCTCTCCACAGCCATATAACAGAACAGTGTGCTGTGTGCAATAACAGACCAAACAAACAACAACAACCATTGCAGCTGCTGAACCAAACCAAACCGAACAGAACAGAACAGGCAGCGCGCATGCGTTTTATCTTCCCTCTATCATACGCGCTCTCTCTCTCTCTCTCTCTATATATCAATTTAATGGGGAAAAACGTCCGTTGTATTACGGCGGCGGCTCTCGCTCTCTTACGCTTTTTCTGCTGCAATCTATCTCTCAGTTTGATTGCTCTCTCTCTCGCTGATGCTCTGCTGCTGTTGCTGCTGCTGCTGTCGTTTGCCGCTGCTGCTGCTGCTGGTTTGCTTGTGCTGCTGTCAGCTCCGCGTCGACAACGACAAGACGTCTGTCTCTTTTCGTTCGGCTGAGCGTAGACATCATGTCGCTGCTGATTGTAGCGTTTTTAATCGCCCGAAATCACAGCGGTGGCGACAATCACAGTTAGAGTGGCGCTTGTAACGGTACACAGCACACACAAACATTGCAAACAACAAGAAACGCGCTTGTCAATCGGCAAAGCCAAACAAAACACTCGCAACAAAATAATCAACGAACAAAAAAACCAAAACAACCAACAACCGAACTTCGAACCGAACTTAATTCTAGTCGCCAAAAGCAAACAAAACAAAAAATATACAAATAAAAAAAATCGTATAAAAATCGTGCCACAAAACCGAAATAAATAATATTAATAAACATTAAATTAATAGCCCTCACACACACGCACACACACAGCTGTTTGTTGTTGTTGTTGTCTGTATTGGTGTTGGTGTTGGTGTATGGGTGAAGGAGAAGAAGGAAGTGCTGCTGGTGCTGGTGCTGCCTCTGTCGCTGCTTCTGCTTGGAATTGGCGGCAGTTTGACCGCAACAACAACAACTACACACACACAGATACAAATACACACGCACACAACACACATTGATACGCGTTCGTCATCAGTCGCCTCCTCCACTGCCCTGCCGCTGCCGCTGCCGCCTGCCTCTGCAGTTGGTCCCCGTGGCTCCTGGGCCCTTGCCATTGTGACATTTGATTTATTTGACGTGTGTGTGTTTTTGATAGAAGCTCAACACGAAACTGACACGTTCACACAAACACACTCACACACACGTACGCGTGAGGAAAGGCTCTGCCGCTGACGCTGCTTCTGCTGCCTCTGCTGCCACCCCCCACCCAACACCCTGCTCTTCGCTGTGTGCTTAAGAATTTCGAATTTCTTGTGGCGAACAAAAATAAAATTCAACGCGTTTTTCGCATATGTTTCTTCGAACAAAAAGTGTGACACAAACAAATACAGAAAACAACAAAAACAACAACAACAAAAAGTAAACCGAACCGCACCGCAGCTATCGGCGCTATCAATGGCAGCGACGAAATTAATTACCAAACAACAGTAATCTTAAATAGTTCTATAATTAAATAAATAATATTTGAAAGAAAAGTGAAACAACCCAAAACAAAAAAATAAAAATAATAATTGCTGCCACAAAATGATGCTGCACGAGGCTGTCATGCTGGAGATCTATCGCCAGGCATTGAGTGCAAGGTGAGTGTTTCCCTTACCCTTTCCCCATCTATTTTATGCTTGTGGAATGTGGCAGCAGAGCTTGTGTGGCAGGAATGTTTTGTGTGTTGTGTGCGGAAGCAGCAGCTTAAAGTTTGTGTTTTTTTTTGCTTTCTGGCAATTTAATTGAATGTTGTTGCGGGTCAAAGTTGAGTTTTGTTTTTGATAATTATTTGATGGGCCGAATATAGTTGACAAATGAGTGGAATATTCAAGTGGAATATACTGTGTAGAAAGCTAAAAAAAAATTAAATTTGTGTGTTTATTTTTGGAAAAAAGGAAAAGGAAAATAATGAGCTGCAGAAGTGTTTTTTATGCTGTGCTGGTTACGACAGGAAAAGGGTTGTGTAGGCTTAGGTTTAATTTATAGATTAAGCATAGAAAACATTTAGTGGCTCTTAAATACTTAAATCACACAAATGAGCAGTGAGCAGTGAGAATATCAAGCAGTTGAAATGTTCTTTGACCTTTTTGAGTGGAATTCCTTCGGTGAAGCTTCAGCTTGAGTTTATATTCCAGAAAATAAAAGCATTGATTTATGAATGAAAATATATATAGTTTGAAAAGTGGTTCTAGGAAATAATACATACATTTTGGACAGTTGTAGAAATTATATAAATATAAATTATAATTATACCCAAATATTATTCATCATAAATGACAAGTGACAGTGAAATACGAGTTTCTCCAGTGAAGAAAATAAATAAATAATAGATGAATGCTGTTGAAATGTTTCTAGCGCACTGTAGAGACAATTTGTTGTTGCTTAATGATGATAACAATTGCAGTTAGTTTATTAAATGATGTAGAAATTATAGAAATTTGTATTTAAAATGTGATATCTATAAAAGGTAGTACATGAGGGATTTAATTTGCATTAATTAAATTGAGGTTTAATTTGTCTTCGAGAAGGGGTATTAATTTCTGCTAGAATGTGTTCAGGGAACCCCGCTAGAGGTCGTAGAATCGGCAGGGTACTCATGCAGATAATATCTAGCTTATTTAGCAGACTTCCAAAGGGACGTAGTCCAATCAGCAGAGCTGCCAGCATCCCCAAAAAGGTTCCTAAAAATAGGTATATTAATAAAAGAAATCTTTTGAGATTTTATGATGAGGATATACAAGAGAAATACATGAACCCTGCCATCGGTAGAGCTTGGGACTTGCAGGTATCTGCTGCCACTTCCACCAAGTCCAAGATAGCAGCTTCCTGCCATGATGGAACCTCCATTTTACCTCCCACTTCTCCTCAATCCCTTCCAGCGAATTGGCCAGTCCGCGTTGTCAGTCCCGCGAATCGAATGCCTCGGCGGGCGCAGCACCTGGCGATGGCCGGTGTCCGTCGAACGAGTCGCACTGCTCCGCCAATGATTGCCTCACGCCGGCGCCCACACCAACGCCCACACACACGCACACGCACACGCCCACCTCCCCCACCGTGGGACTGCCGCTGACGGCGACACTGGCGCCGGGAGCTGCTGCGGCACTGCTGCCGCCACAATCGGCGGCGATGGCCGCATACCTGGCGGCCGCACAACAGAATCACCTGCTGCTGACGAATCCCCTGGCGGCAGCGGCCTCGCTGGTGCAGCAGGCGACGCAACAGGCGGCCGGAATGGGCTCGCCGGGCAGCCTGGTGGCCGAGGAGGAGGCCCCGGCACTGGATTTCAGCAGGAAGCGACCCGCCAGCGTGGAGGAGGAGCCGATGGCCAGCGATGAGGAGGAGCCGGAGCCGGAGCCAGAGCAGGCCGAATCGGGCGACAATGGACCGCTGGATCTGTCGGTGAGCGCCAGGAAGCGACAGACAACGGTGGAGGAGCGGGAGCGGGAGCGTGAGCGGGATTCGCCTGTCCGCAAGCTGCCACGTGCCACGGACTACAAATCGCCGCTGCCGCCGGGCAGCTGGGTGCCACCGCTAAATCCCTACCTGGCGGCCGTGGCGGCCAAGAAGATGGCGCCCAGCGAGGCCACCAAAGCGCTGGAGAAGATGAGCGAAATGAGCCGCCTGGAGACGCCACCGCCAGTGAGCAGCAGCAGCAGCAGCGGTGGCAGTCACAGTCACAGGAGTGCGGCAGCGTCAGCAGGAGGCGGTGCAGGGGGACGACACAGCGCCTGGCAGTCGCATTGGCTGAACAAAGGCGCCGATGCGGCCAAGGATGTGTTCAAGTGCGTGTGGTGCAAGCAGAGCTTCGCCACTTTGGCCAGCCTCACGACCCACATGAAGGAGACGCAGCACTGCGGCGTACAGATACCCTCACCCTCCTCCTCCTCCTCCGGCGCCGCCAACGCTGCCGCTCAGGCCATGCCCCGCGTGCCCACATCCACCTCGACATCGGCATGCTCCAGCAGCAGCAGCAGCACCTCCACCACATCCTCAAACTCCTCCAAATCGGAGCTGAATATGCTCATCAAGGAGACAATGCCGCTGCCCCGGAAGCTGGTGCGCGGCCAGGACGTGTGGCTGGGCAAGGGCGCCGAGCAGACGCGGCAGATCCTCAAGTGCATGTGGTGTGGCCAGAGCTTCCGTTCGCTGGCGGAGATGACCAGCCACATGCAGGAGACGCAGCACTACACGAACATCATATCGCAGGAGCAGATCATCTCCTGGAAATCGGGCGACGAACGGGAACGCGACAGACCCAATGCGCCGCCCAATGGCAGGGACAGTGGACAAGCAGCAGCAGCAGCAGGAGCAGCGCCTCCGCCAGCCGGCAGCAGTGGCAGCACAGCGGCCAGCGTCAGTGCGGTGCTCACGTGCAAGGTGTGCGATCAGGCATTCTCCACGCTCAAGGATCTCAGCACACACATGGCCCAGCAGTCGCACTACAAGGACTCGCCCTCGGCCATGTCCTCATCCTCCTCGGTGTCGCCGCCAGCGCCGCCTGCCACAGCCACAGGAGCCACAGCAGCAGGCAACAGCAAACGCGGACGTCAGACACGCAATGAGAAGCGCAAGAAATCGCTGCCGGTGCGGAAACTGCTGGAGCTGGAGCGTTCCGGCTCCAACTGCAGCCTGGATTCGGCCCTGAAGCCGTTGAGGGACTTTGCTGCCGCCACGAAAATCACCTGCGAGAAGTGTGGCAGCAAGATCGAGACAGCTCTGTTTGTGGAGCATATACGCAAGTGCCTGGGCGACAGCATACCCATACCACCCAGGCGTACGCATGGCCAGCATCAGGCGATGGCGATGGATCGCCTGCCGAGTCCCGGCATGACGGGCGAGAAGCCGCCGTCCGTGCTGAATGCCCTGGAGCAGCTGATCGAGAAGAGTTTCGAGTCGCGGGGATCGCGCGGCCTGCACCCCGGCGGCGGCGGTGGTTACTCCGACATGGGCACCCCATTGGGCGCCAGCATCCTGAAGCGTTTGGGCATCGATGACAGCAGCGACTACACCAAGCCCCTGATGGATGCCCATGCGATGCACCTGCTGCGCTCCTCTTACGCGTCGCGGGATCGCAGTGCCAGCGAGTCGAGCAGCGCCAGTCGCGTGGAGTCTGCCTATACGCCGGACAGGCAGCAGGCCACGCCACGCCGGACACCGGATACACCGGCGCCAGCGCAAGCTCCTCAGCCGCCGCCGCCGCCAGCAGCAGCGCCAACCATCAAGGCGGAACCCTTGGAGCTGGATCATGGCGAAATGGAGGCCAGTCCGCGGCAGCACATCAATGTGAAGAAGGAGTTTAGCATGGACTCGGCGGCAGGAAACCTGCGCGAGAGTCCCAGATCCAGCAGCCAATCGCCAGCAGCGCAGCCAACGACCGGAGGCACTCAGGACAGTGGCAGCTTATTGGCCCTGAATTCGATGTTTGATCAGCTGAGTGGCGTGGAAGCGAACAATAATAATAATAATACGGGTAAGTGCAGACAGTTCCTGTAGATGGGCATTACTTCAGATGATCTGTGGCAGGGAATTATAGCGATGGAAAAGATGTTTAATCTTTGAGGCTATAGCTAGGGATTTTTGCTTGAAGAATTAACTTTCTTTGCCTTCATTCAGAATAAATAAATCCATGCCATATGGAAATGTGCTTCAATTAAAAATATTTCAAGTGCACTCTGCTCATTGCCCCCCCACCACAGATCGCTCACAGCCAGCTATGCTTATAAAACCCCTTCTAAAACCTTTTTCTTCCTTGCAGGACACTGTTATAACAACAACAACAATAATACGAGCAATATTTCCACTAAAAAACCAAAGGCCCATCCCTTGGCGGCACTGCAGAAACTCTGCGAGACAACAGATCCACCGGCCTGCAATACGCGCAGTGCAGCAAGCACCACAACAACAACAGGCGCTGCCACGGCGGGCATGGGCAACGGTGTCAACGATCTGGTGGCCTTCAGCTGGGCCTGCAACGAGGCGGTGCTGAGTGCCAGCAGCGGTGGCGCTGGCGATGCAGCCATCATCAAGTGCTCCTTCTGTGATACGCCGTTCGGTTCGAAGGGCGCCTATCGCCATCACCTCTCGAAGGTGCACTTTGTCAAGGACAATGGCGAGGATTCACCGACTATGAAGTCGCCGGGAGCTGCAGCACAGTCACCCAAATCCCTGCCAATGGCCTCGCCCAAGCGATCCGCTTCCAGGAGTCCGGCAGTGGCGGCGGCACAGCAACCATCGCCATCGCCCACCATCAATCCGTATGACGAGAGTCCGCAGTCAAAGTTCTTGAAGTACACGGAATTGGCCAAGCAGCTGTCATCGAAGAATGCCTAAAGAGGCGCCGAATGAGAGTAGTGTGTGGGTCTGTTAAACTAAGATCTCCGACTAAATTAAGCAGCGTAGTGAACCGTAGAGAAAATGTATTTTATGCAGCGAAAGCCTCGACAGGCGGACAGATCTCTTGCAACGGACATGACTTTTAGTTGGAGTTTTTAATGGACTCCTAAAAGATCCCTGAAAATATCCAAAAATTTATGAAAGAAGCTTCTACTTGCAGACTGTTTCCCTTTCATTTTAAATATTGTGGAAACAATATTTTTTCCACAATCTCTGCCTTAAAATCGTAACTGGCGGACAGTTCCTAAACCAATTTCTAGTCCCAATCTATGAAAAAAAAATATCTACAGCAGCAAGAGATCTACTAAGTTCTCAAATGGAGCCATTTGGAATTTTTCATTTAAAATTTGTTTGCCAAAATAGTTCCTGTGACGCAAAATGTTCAAAAACTTCTGTTAACGGACAGGACAGTAATATACTTAATTATTTATTATTATGTAATGAATCTCTTGCATTAAGCGGACATATCATTTTCAAGTATAGTCCCCCCTGTTCGCCCTAGAGAGCTTTCACTGTATTTTAGAGGACATTTCTTATTGTGGCCATAAATCTGATTACCAAAAAAAAAAGAACATTTTTAGTTTTAACAGTAGGCAGGCACTCTCCTAACATTACCATTATTCTGTTGCACAGTGTTAAATCGCCCCCCACCACCCACCCACAAAAATAGCAGCTGAGATTCCTGTTTTGTGCCTTGATTTCATTTCAGAGATCAATGAAGAGAGTGTGGAGCAATAACATTGAGAATCTGCCAGCTAGTTTACGCTCCCAAATTGAACGCTCTCATTATCTCTCTTGTCTTATGCAAAGCTCTCTCGCTCTCTGGCGCGGCTCTCCTCTCTCTCTCTCTCTGCACAATATATTTCCCCTACTTGTGCTGAATAACATTACATTTCCCCAGCTGGCCCGCAGTCTGTTTCCCCTTTGTTCCATATGCTCTTGTGTTCCAACTCTTGTCGGGTGACGTCACTCTGCTTCTGTGTGTGTGTGTGTGTGTGTGTGTGTGTTTTGTCCGATTTTATTGTTTCCCAATCAGACAGCATGCCATCGCAGTCGCACGTGCGAAATTCAATTACCACCACTTTGACGAACTGTCCATCACAAAAAGCGGGCGGGCGGCGTCGCACTCGCACTGCTGCGCGCCAAAGAGAGACAACCATACAGAGGTGGCGAAGCAAACCGTTTGACGAAAGGCGACGACACGAGTTCGTCAAAGTTGGGATTGGATGGAGGCGAGAAAGCAAGAGAGAAAAAACAACAAAGTAGGTGGGGGTGTGAACGAGAGACACAGCAACAGCAACAGCGAGAGATAGAGAGAGAGAGCGCGAGATAGAGAAGCAGAACTATTGAGTGGAACGGGTTTTTCGAGTGCACACTCTTGAGTGCGAATGAGCGAGGCGGCATTTGAGTGCAAGAAAAAATAATAAAATACACTTTAAAAATAAATAAAACTATTTTTGTTTACTATAGCTGGATCCGATCGTTCCCCTAGCTATATTTTATTTATTTTTTTAAAATTAATTAAAGCCGCAGTTCCTGGTCAACAAAAAGCGTGCCAAAAACCAAAATCGAAATATTCAAAAATAATTATACAAATTAAATCATTAAAATTTAAGCAATTTACAAAAACAAATGCAACGCAGTATACGTAAAACTCTTGGAAAAACACTTAAACCTAAACTAAAAAAAAAAAAAAAAAAAGTTAACCTGAAAGAAACTTTTAAGAAAGAAAAAAATATAACCCAAAAATAGAATGCATTATATAAATGTAAATAATTAGCAAATAGCACTTTCCTTCCATAAAATACAAAACTATATGAAAAAAAAATATACAAACATATATGTGAATCTTGAAAGATATGGAAAGCCATAACTGTACTTAAAGATAAGTTAAAAGCTATATCTTCTTGAAGAAAGTCGAAATCAAAATGTAGCCACAGCAACGCATGTATACGCAACACAATTTTAACAAAACAAAAACAAAAACGAAAACTATACAAATATTATATACAAATTATATATATATGCATATATGAATACTATATACAACCCATGTATACCAGCAACTCCAATCTCAAACAATAACTAAGAGGAAACTTGAATATCTAACCTAAGAACTAAACCTAAGAGTCGAAAAGATCGGGGCCCTCTCTCAGCGGTGGAGGGAGAGGCAATACTTACAGAGAATGTAAAACATTTCAAGCATCATTATCATCATCATTATCATCATCATCAAGAACATGAACATCATGCATCTGTCATTGGGAATAGTTTACATCTAAAATGATACGATATACGATATAAATACTTATGTATACGACTTGTATTTGAGTTTTTGTGATATTATTTTTAAAACGAAACCGTTCGCTTCCTTTTCGCCATGCCCCACCCCCCAAGACCCCTAACAATCCTGTGTCCTGTAACACCAACCCCTAACCCCACTCCCCCCACTCACCACTCCCCTTAGCCACATAAGTGTAAGTTATATATATATATATATATAAATGTAATAAATGCAATAAAGGCGCAGCATTCAAAAAATAAAATTTAAATGATTTTACACTTTTCTTCTCTCTCCAAAAACAAGAAACAAAACAAAAAAAACACACAAAAAATTGAATACTTTGATTAAAAATTAGCGCGCAATCTGCGGCATAAAAAGGAATATCCAGAATTAAAAATAGTTCGAAAAAGAAGAGTTCAATAAAAACAGAGTTGTACGTTTCCGATTGAAAATAAAAAAAAAAATGGTGAATTTTTGGGGTTGGTAATTCAAGGAGAAAACTTCACGGTGTTTTTTTTTTTATAGAAGTGCTTGTAGAAGCAATTCTGTGCTGCGTATGGCTAGGAATGCTTTGAAGATTGAAGGTTTTATTGTTTATGCTCTTGGGCTGAACAGCAATTAATACTGGTAGCTTATATTGCCTAGGTTTTCTGGCCCTTTTCAGCGTCACTTTTGGCTTCAATTCGCGCACAAAAATGCACTTAAAAGAGCTGCCAAAGAGCCTTGAACTATTTAAATTCTACAGCTATTAAACTTCAAATATAAACCATTAACTAGCTGAAGGCCATAGCAGCCATTGCTAGTTTAACATCACTTACTATAAGGTTTAAACCTTATAGTAAGTTATTAAATAAATAAACCATTAAAATCTGCTGATAGCTGAAGGATTTATTGAATATTTCTTTACCAACCAATTGATTGTGGGTATGAAAATTGAACAATGATCAACAAAAGTCTATACAAATTTAAGCATATAATAGTTCTTACCCTTCAAGAGTACTTCTATGTATACCAATTGTTTCCCTTGCATATAGTTGAACAGTAACAAATATTCTCTGTTTTGTTATTAGCCCACAGCCCTTTGGGCTTTTCGGTCTAATCTCGCTGTTCAATTGCTCCCCAAATGCGGCAGAAATCTCAGTTAAGAGCTGAGCGCACCCGCGCTCGCACCCGCTCCAAATAACATGCCATATCAAATTGTAAACTAATATTTGCTAATAAACACGCAGAGTTAATTAAACCTGAATTATGGGGCACATGGCCAACCCCCCACCCCCCCATTCAGAGGATGGGGACTCTGCTGCAGGAACAGGAACATGCGCGAAATGTGAACGCAATTCGCTGATTTATGGGCAACAAAGGATTAAGACAACGACATTCAGAGAGAGAGAGAGAGAGATACCGATAGGAAGTTTCACACACACACACACGCGCGCTTCCTCCCTCCCTCCCTCCCTGCACCCCTCGCCCCACTCCATCTCTATCTCTTTCTATGCTCCACATATCTATCTCTTTTGCTCTTAGCCACGACGTTGATGACGATCCAACGCCAAACACCGAAAAATCTCCTTCGAAAACTTCAATTGCCAAAGGATTCATTTTCACTTAAAATTTATGATGTGTGTGTGTGTGTGTGTGTGTGTGTGGGGCTACGGTTCGTTTCTGTTTTCATGCATACGCGTATACGGGTGAGTATGATATGCCCCAGGGGGTGGTGCTGGTACATGGGGCATGTGCTGGGTGTCACATTTGTGTTAAAAGATAATTTTTGGAAAATGTTTCAAAAAACTTTTGCATGTGCCCCATCTACCGGCTTCAGTTTTGAGTTCAGTTCTCGGGCTTCATTGACGGCTTGTTTTTCCGGTGGCTGGGAGTGGAGCGCGCTTTTTCTTGCCTCCCACCAAAAAGTTGTCTCTCTGTGTGTGTGTGTGTGAGTGTGTGTGTGCATTGGACACCTTTTGGGCTGGACCTGCCACCCTGTTGCTGCTGCTGCTGCTGCCGCTGCTGCCACCGCTTAATGAGATACAAACACATAAATTCTCAAAAGTGTCATGCATCGCACATAACGGTTTACTTTTTTGCTCTTTTGATAAGCCAACACACACAGACACGACAGCGGAGAGGGGGCGAGTGTTTTGGGTAAGGCTAAAAAGGCTTTAGGCCAAAGACAAGAAAGTTAAATATACACACATATGGGGGGTAGCAATGTCAAAAGATCACAAAATGAACGACAAATTGGGCGAAACGTAAATATAAAATAATTTTAAATAGGTAATTTATCCTCTCGAGCACAAAAATCCACTTAAAAAACACTTAAACTATTAAAATTCTACAGCTATCAAACTTCAAATATAAACCATTAAAATCGGTTGGAAGCTGATTATTATTCCTGCTAACTCCATACTCTGTCGATATGTTTTTCTAAGGATTCCTACAAATAATAGAGAGTTCGCTTAATTTTTTTACAAAGTTGTTTAATTTTTTAACAATTGGAGATATAGTTGTTCTTCTGTAAGTTTAACTTTATTCTTCAGATGGTGATCCATGGTGATATAAAATATATATATAAAAGCCCTTAAATTTTAATAGTTAAACTCAGATTAAAAAATGAATACTGACCAATAAGTTTTATCCGACAGTGGAAATTAACACAAATATTAAAAAATTTAACTTAAACATTTTTTATACTTAAAATAAATTTCATTCATATTTAAAATACATTTATTTCATATTTAATAAATGTATTCATTAATATATTTATTTTATATTTAAAATAAATTTATTTCATATTTAAAATAAATATTTTTCATATTCATTTTCAAATATATGTGAAAGTGTTTTATTTTTATGTTCAATATTTATAATTTATATAATTATTATTATTATATAATTTATATAAAAAATATTTTTTAGTACTGTTTAATTTTCCGATGTTTATATTAAAAAACCGAATATTTTATTTAAATGTGGATTTATCCACTAGGCAAATCTATAGGCAAATGTTGAGCTGTTTAGTTTTATTTCTAATGAAATTAAAGATTATTATTAATTATTATTATTATCTATTATCTGTTAATTTTTGGAACATTTTTTAAGCAGCCCCGGTTTTTTTTTGCAGGTTTTTCTTACCTTAAAGCGAGTCTTAGCTAACACTTGGCTAAGCATGTGAACAAGGATTATATCTCTCAGGTAAGTTTATACAAAATATAGAAAAACAAACTTTATTTTGATAACCTTAAATGGCCTGCGACGATGTCAATCTGTGCTATAATTCCACCCAAAAAACACCAAAAGCCCATGAATGCCAGCCACCGAAAAACAGCAAAGGACAAAGAATCCTTCCCACCATCCAACTAAATGAGCTTGAGCGAGAAATCTCAGTTCACATTCATAGATACTCCCAATGCCAATGAGTGTGTGTGTGTGTGTGTGTTCTTTTTGGGTGTTTGTGTGTGTGTGTGTGTGGTGTGTGCTCATCAGTAGAGAGCCATGCCATACGCTCTTGCCATATATCCTGTGGCATGCATAAAGAAAAGTGTAATAAAATTTGATTTATTGTAGACAAGATTCGAGTTGGATATGTTTTCCTGCTTCCCCTACCCAGTGTGTGTGTGTATATATCTTTGCATGTGTGTGTGTGTGTGTGTGCTTTTCGCATGCTCATTCGCTGCTGCTTCCACGCCTGCGTCTCGTACACTTCCCTTCAACTTACATGGATGGCAGCAGCAGCAGCAGCAGCAGCAGCAGAAGCATCTTCCACCTCTCGCTTGGGAGTGTATCCTGGCGAATGAAGCGTCGGAATTCGTGTTTGCCACCAAAGGACCAGCTAGCCAGCCAGCCAGCCAGCCACCCACCCACATGACACCGTCACCGCCACCGACACCCCCAATGCGACTCATGCATCACTCCGACTAGATATCATTCATCTCGTTTGCTGCTGCCGTTTACCCACACTCCCCACTACCCACTACCCACCCAGTCCCAGTCCCATGCCCCATGCTCATGCCCCAATCACATTCACATTTTCTGACACTTTCGAAAAACTTTTGCACTGCAGGCGTTGGCCCATTCCATTCCTATCCATTCTCCTGCCTCCTCTGGTCGTAGTCTCATTAGTCCTGGCCAGGCTTCTGGTTTCTGTTTTCAGCTTCTTCATCGCCATCGTCATCATCATCATCGTCGTCGTCGTCGTCGTGTGGATCTGTATCTGTATCTGGCAATGTGGTGGTGTTGGTTGGGCGTGTATCTTGAAGATGTCTGCGTGGAAAGCAGAAAAATCTTGCGATTGTTTCCAGGGGAAAGAATGGAACAGCATCAGTCTGTTCTAGTAATTGCAATTTTGTAATTATTTAACTGGAGAATGGGTTGATTATTTCCTGCAGCCCACACAGCAAAGGA